TTGGGGGTCACCACAACATGAGGAACTGTATTAAAGGGTTGTGGCATTAGGAAGGTTGAGAACCACTGCTTTAGATAAACAAGTCTCAGGAGGAGGCAGCCTCTGTCTGCCAGCACCCCTCCCCCTCTCTCTCCTGCCAGGGGACTCCCCCCCACCCCACAGGCCATCTGGTGGGATTCAGGTTATGAGACCGGCGCCGTAGTCCCTGGTCAGTCACCCATGCTTCCTGCAACCTTCTCACACGTCGGATAAACACACCAGAGCCCTCGCAGAGACAGAGCCTCTTGAAACTGGACCCTCACGGACCTCCTAGAATAGTGGTCGGCAAACTCATTAGTCAACAGAGCCAAATATCAACAGTACAACGATTGACATTTCTTTTGAGAGCCAAATTTTTTAAACTTAAACTATATAGGTAGGTACATTGTTATTAACTTAATTAGGGTACTCCTAAGGCTTAGGAAGAGCCACACTCAAGGGGCCAAAGAGCCGCATGTGGCTCGCGAGCCGCAGTTTGCCGACCACTGGTAGAACAATGGTGGTTGACGTCATTCCTGGAGCATACTTGTAACTCATTATATGGCTTTTCTAAGGTGCATGTGAACCATGATGGTTCCTAAAATAATGCAGAAATGCAGGTTCCAGGTAAAATTCAGAAGGTGATATCCACTAGCAGAGAGGGTTGCATCATTGGTCCAAAATTTAAACCTCAGAGCATGATTTTGTATAAAATGGCTATTTCATACAGTTCAACCTAAATACTACACAGATCAAAGAATAGGTTATACTTTTCATTCCTGTTAAATTTTACAGCTGCAGTTTTCCATTGGTTGATTTTACTACCAGGTCTTCATTGTCTACACAAAATTTGGGGGTTTTGAGATGACAGTCTCATAGTTGGCCCATACATCCCAACTCTACATCTCAATGTTTCATTTAATGAAAAGTGAGTGGGTAGTAGACTTGAATATTTATCTTATTGAGATAGTGTTAAAATGCATTTAATTTACAAGAGTCTCTTATTCTAAAATTGATGTGATTAGGAATTTGGAGAAGTTACCCACATTGCAGGATTTTGGCTGGCCAGAGCAGGAATGGTTATTTTGTATAAGAATAGTTGCCTTTGATCTTGTCCAATGGTAGAGTGCAGTTGATATACTGGCTGTCCCCAGTTATTTTTCTGACAAATTTCCTCTAATATCTACAAGAGTGAAAAGAAAAAAAGACCTTTCTTTCAAATGTCACATTTGCATTATTTCTCTAGCTTTCAGGTTTTTAACTCTGTCCTTCAGAATTTAAGCTAATACAAAAAGATATAAAATGCCACATGGTTTAATGACTCATAAAACTTAAGATGAACTCAATTTGAACTCTATTTAAAATGTTAGGTCTATTAATTCATAAAAACCATCTTCACACCACTTAGTCTAATATGTTTTTAGTTTAGTCCATTAGCTGTAACTTTTTACCAATAGTTTAATTTTGTGATTTGTTTGCTATACTTATCCCTGTTTAAAAAGTTGATATCCTAGCACTGTGCGGCTGGATTTACTCATTATTATCTTCAATCCTTCTGTTTATAATGGTTTAGAGAAAATAACCTAAGGATACAGTATATTCTTATTTTATGTTATTTATCATAAAGTTTAACTTCACATTTTCATAAAAATAGAGTCTTAAAGTTTAATTGGTTAGTATTTATTGATGAGGTTTGATAGGTGGGTGTTGACAGTTGCAATGTTTTTGGTGAACGACACTTCTGGTTATTTTTTTACAATTGTCTGGTTTATGGCAACTTCCTGCATGTTTTGTCTTTTTCTATCATTACTGCAAACTGAATCATGTCTAAAAGCACATATTTTCTTCATCTTGAAGCCACTTTTTGGTGGCCCACAAGCCCTGATACTCCCATTAGTTGGCAGATTCAATAAACTGTGCAAAATCGGGCATAAATTTGAAAAAACAAACGAACAAAACTCTTCGGGACAGAACAATGTCCCAGGATGCCCGTATGGAGCTTATCTCATTTGTTCTAACACCAATCCAGCTGCAATAGCATGACCTTTTTCAGTTTATTCAATTTATAGATTGCTCCTATCTTCTTTATTAACTTTTCTTGTAATATTCTCAGTTTTGTAGCATCTCTTATCATCTACAAAGCATTCTCTGAAGTTCCCGAACAATAGTAAATTGCTTTAACTGGCAGATAGTCTGTAACATGTGCTAACGGAGTAGCAGCTCTAACTGCTGACTGCAGGTCAGCATGTGTCCCTCGGCTCTTCTTGTTGGAAGTTCACAGCTCCACTGTGGAGTTCTTAAGGCTCCATCATGAAGGTTGGGGTGACATGGTCTTCAGTTTCTAGGCCATAGTTGCAGAAATTTGGGGACAAATTAATTAAAGAATTTTCATTAGTTGGTAGAGATGGTTACTCACATCTTAATAAAAAGCATGACCAGTTTCTAACCTGGGTTTGATATTAAAAGCAGAGATCATTACTCATGCTATAGCAGCTCTCAGAACTGTTCTACAGAATTTATGATGATCATTACTTTTTATTTTCTTAGAATATTTCTAGTTTTCCCGGTAGCTTAATTAGGTTTCTTATTTTGGGTTTTAACCCAAGGGAGATTGGGTGACTAGCTTTGTGTTTTCTGAGCAAAGCTCTGAATGCCAGACTCATGACATTTACTAGATTTTTTTATAATGATCTGTGTACCTGTTAGTATCCTCTCACTGAATTGCCATATAATGTTTTCCCAGTTTTATTGAGATACTAGAGGCCTGGTGCTCAAAAATTTGTGCACTCAGGGTTGGGGGATCCCTCAGCCCAGCCTGCGCCCATTTGCAGTCCAGGGCCCCTTGGGGGATGTCCACCTGTTGACTTAGGCTCACTCCCCAGGAGATCAGGCCTAAGCTTGCAGTCAGACATCCTTTTGGCAACCAGGGAGCCCTCGGGGGATGTCCGACTAAAGGCTTAGGTCCCCAAGGGATCGGGCCTAAACCGTTAGTTGGACATTCTTAGTGTTGCCACGGAGGTGGGAGAGGCTCCTGCCACCACCTCTGCGCTGGCCAGCCATGAGCCAGCTTCTGGCTGAGTGGCACTCCCCATATGGAAGTGCACTGACCACCAGGGGGCAGCTCCT